CATGGGATGGCACCAGCATGACAAGGTGGCGAAGCACAATCAGCCAGGGAAGGAAAACATCTGCAAATCAACAAAAACCTGAAAATACTTTGGAAAGAGATGACCTGAATCCTTTCATTCTGGTTTTCTGTGAGGCACAGCAAAAATAAGGTGCCAGAAATAATTTTATTTAAAGCTTTTTGAAGCACCACCTTGCTCAGTCAGCTCCACTAGACAGACACTCCCCAGCAAGCTGATGACATTCCTGAGAGTTACTCTGTCCGTGGCATAGCAAGTACAATTAAGGCAAATCTAGTTTAAAAACAGTAGCACATTGCTTTCAGACTCATCTGGTCGCTTTTACCAAGCCTGTATTCCCAGCCCTAAGCTAATACATCAATGAAAGCATCTCCATTGATTTTGAGGGACTTCAGCTCAGCACACAAATTACAACATCCACCTGCCCTCTCACAGGCCAGCACTGTCAGCCAAAACTGTTCTTCAGAACATGCTTTTGTCCTAAAAATACTCCCCATGTTTCAGCCAGCCTGTTCTCTTTCATAGAGCCATGGATTGGTGAAAAGGGACCTTTACGATGATCTCATTCCACCCCTGCCATGGCAGCAACACCTTCCACCACCCCAGGCTGCTCCAAGCCCCATCCAGCCTGGCCTTGGACACTTGCAGGGATCCCGGGGCAGCCACAGCTTCTCTGGGCACCCTGTGCCAGGGCCTGCCCACCCTCCCAGGGAACAATTCCTTCCCAATATCCCATCCATCCCTGTCCTCTGGCAGTGGAAGCCATTCCCTGTGTCCTGTCCCTCAATCCCTTGTCCCAAGTCCCTCTGCAGCTCTCCTGGAGCCCCTTTAGGCCCTGGAAGGGGCTCTGAGCTCTCCCTGGAGCTGTCTGTTCTTCATACTAAGCATTCCCAGCTCTATCAACACTTGGGGTGCTCCTTAAGAGTGGAAGGGGATACAATCAATCCAAAACAGACCACAGAATCACACATGGTGTTTGTTACTTAATATTTTCTAAATTTTTGGGTTTGATAAGTTTGAATAGCTCTATTTCCCCCTTAATTGGAGCAATTGTTTTTAACCCTGCTCCTGGAGCCACGTTGCCATGGCTACCCTGCACAAGCCCAGGCGAGCAGAGCAAGGTGTATTTTTAGAATTGCCAAAATACATGTCTCTAACAGAGCTTTTCTGGACAGAGCTCTCCTTGTTCCGTGACACGGGAATTAAGGGCATTCAATGGAATTAAAATGTGGGAAACTGAAAACAGATTAAGAGAGAGGCCCGTGGTGCAGCTGGTGCCTGGCTTGAGCCCCCCACACAGGACAGAGCCTGGAGGCAGGGCTGGGACACTGCTGAGGCCTCCCCAGGGCCACAGGACACGGTGGGACAGCTGAGTGACCCAGAGTGCCATGGATGTACACAGGCTCTGTGGGCTCACGGGACAGCAAGGAAGAGCTGCTTAGGGCCCAGCAGGCTGTGCCTCAGGAGAGCTCAGGGCTGGGGGACAGACAAACACAGGTGACATTGTGCTGGGTGACAATAGACCACCTACTCAGGAAGAAGTAGTTGAGATATTGTGGCACATGGTAGAGGTCTGGTGTTTGCAGATCCTGATCCTCATGGGATTTCAACAACCCAAGTGCTGGAGGAACACCACAGTGGGACTCAAGCAAGTCAGGTGGTTTCTGGGGAGCACTGGCAACAGCTCCCTAAGACATGAGAGAGCAGACAGTGGGAAGAGACACTCTGCTGGGCCTTGCTATAGACCAGGAATAATTGGTCAGGGATGTGAAGGCCTTGAGCAGTCTTGGCTGCAGTGCCCATGAGGTGGGGGGACACTGATGGAGCAGCAGACCCAGCAAGGCTCCTGTGTACTCCTGACAAGAGACACTTCACTGGTCATGTCCACGCAGACAGGCAAACCCTAAGGTGCAGAGATCCAGCCCTAAACTGCCCCAGCTCCAACACTCCTGGCACCCCTCCAAGAGAGTCACTGCCCAGCAGCAGCTCCCTCAGCCCCAGGGGACAAAACACATCGGAGCTGAGCCAGAAGGAAACACGAGGAAGGAAATGGAAAGTAAAGCAAGGATTAGCACCACTTTAGCTGAAGTCAGCAAGTGGATTAAGGAGAGGGAAAAGCTGGGGGCTCCAGAATAAACTCATCCTTCTGCAGGAAAGAACCACTTAAAAAGAAACTGCTGAGTTGTGGCACTGTGAGCCCGACCCAGGTTCCTGCAAGGACCCATCAAGGACAAGGGACAGCACAACCAAAAGGAGGCCACAGTGCCAGCAAGAGCCATTCCCTGCTCCAACTCCACAGTACTGCAGCTCTGCTACCCCTGCACTGCACTCCCAGGGAGCTGCCAGGCAGATGCTGGAGAGGAACCTAAGAACCTTTCACCTCCAGCATGGATGAGATGGTTAAGCTCAGCTTGATTTTTGATCAGAAACTGCACTCAGACTCAGCTTACTGGTACAGGACTTGAGAGAGAGCGAGGGCACAGGAGGTCCCATGGTCTCACAGCCCACCCTGAGTGCCCTGAGCACAGGAGAAGGTCTCCATCACCACAGCTCTTCCTTTGCTGGGCAGCAGCTGCACATGCAGAAAGCCACATGCACAACCATCACACCCATGAGGGAAAGCATGACCTGCTGACAATCATTCCTCCTGAGCCAGGGCACCTCCACAGCAGTGGCTCTCAGTACCCTGTCCATCCATCCTGGTGGCCACAGTCTGTCTTTTCAGGAATACACCAATGACATCAGGAAAAACAAAACAAAGCATAAAGAGAAGATTCTAGAGGTGCAAACACCCAGGAGTAAATCTTCTGGTTTAGAGAGCAGCTGTATTTGAGAGCTCCTGGGGTCTTGAAAATTTGCATAGACTAGATAAAAGAATAGTTCAGAGAGACATTTACATGCTGTAAGTCAAACAGGATCATAAACATGAAGACAACAGCAGAGTCCAAAGATGTTCCTGCTGCTAATGCCTCTCTGAATCCCCCTCCGGACACTCTTTCCATAGGAGCCGTGCTATGGACCATGACCATTCCTGGCTGAAGCTGGGCTCTGCCAGCATTACTCCAGGGGCACTGTGCAGCTGGAAAGAAGCCTTCTCAAAAATCATCTGCACAATTCATTTCAGAGTCAGAGCAGTCTGCCAGCAGCTCTAGTCACGCTGTCCCATCCCTTTCACAAGGACATGAGTAATTATTGAGCACTCTAGCTACTAAAACAGATTAGAGCAAAACAAACTAATTCTGTTCCAAGGCAATGATCTGACCTCATTAATGACAGTAGTAATGCACTAACAATATTTTTCTCTTATACAGTGATGTCTTTCATTAGTGCTCAAGCTGTTTTGTAAAGGAGTTTAGTACATTCCTATAAACTCATTTGCATAGGAGGAAACCCAAGCCAACACCAGCATATCCAGAGGCTGTTCCCTGGGAAGCAATCTAGACTGAGAGCACAGAGAACATCACCCTGCAGCCAGGAACAATAACCAGAGGTGCAGGGTTGGTGTGTGGAGCAGCCCTCCCTTCCCTCCCTCTTCAAAGCAGGCACCAGGACAAGCTGCCATGGCATCCCAGCCAGGGCAGATCCCTGCCAGACCTGCACAGCAGGTTTGCTCCTCCTCCATCACATCTCTTCTTTGTGAATGAAGAGAACGACTCTGGGCATCCAGACTCACTGTGAGGGCCCCAGAGATTTAACACATTTCACACCACAATTATTTACCTCAGGAAGCACTGTGTGTGTGGAGCTGAGCAGCAGCTCCCTAAAGCTCTCACGCCTCCCCTCTTACAAGGCATTGGCCACTAAACAGAGCCACCCTAAACAGAGTCAGTCTGATCTCCTGCACGAGGCACCTGCACACCAGCAAGGATCTTTCCCAAGTACCTCCATGAAGAGCCACCTTTTCAAATGATGTTTTCCCCTCTGTCCTTTGTGTACTTACAGACACTCCAGGCACATTCAGCATGTACCAGCTTCAGAGCAAGCTGCCCCAGCAAGGGCATGAGGAGAGATGCCCAAGAAAGAGAAGCTCGGATCTGTCAGGTTTGAGGGACAAAGCAAAGGGAAGACCCCTTGACTGATGCCCTAAGGGCTGGGACAAGGATCCTGCTGCTCAGGAGAGCAGCTGGGGTCCCAGTGGGCAGCAGGAGGCAGACTGGGAAGCCAGCTGTGGCACAGGGAGGGCTTAAACCCTTTCCACTCAGAATCACCTGCAGTCAGGGCCTGACTGAACCCACCCGCTGTCACAGTCACCTGCTCACGGGGCTGTGCTTCAGCACCTCAGGAGCCAGCACTGCACAGCTCCCATCCAAGGCCAAGCCGAGATTTCCCCTACACTTGGAACAGTAGGGACAAGACCTCAAGACAGTGCTGCCACATAACACCCCCATCCTGCCTTTTCCCTGCCCTGCAGCCAAAAGCCTCCAAGCACTTGCCAATCACTAATTAACAAGATCTTTACAGCTCTGCTTTTGAGGAGGGCTGGGAAATCACTTTTCCTCATCTTAGAGATAAGGAAAAGCCCGAACAAAAGGAGAAGATGACGTTCTTTGAGATCCTCACAGGCTTGTCTGGAGTTCAGAAGCTCAACCCACCTGGCCTTGCAGGGCTGCACTAGGAGGGCTGCCTGCATCTGCTGTGGTTGGGCTTTGTAGCCATGTGCCTTACAGCTCCCAGCCAAGGTTCACACACAGATTAAATGCATTGAAAGAGAGGATTAGTCCAGTTTCCCCTCTGCACTGTTAGAAAGAGATGTTTGTGCAGCAAAATAGCAAAGAGGTCTGATCTAAGAAGCTCAATCACAGCCAGAGGGCAACTGTTCTCTTCCCATTGAACCTGCACAGCACTGTATGGCAGGGGGGAGCTTCAAGTGAAAAGCAGAACTCACATCCTAGGGACTCCTGGGCTCTCATGCAGGTCACACATTCTTAGCACTCTATGAAATATTAAAAGCAAGACAGGCAGCTGCCCTGCCCGACTCCTACCACTTGCAGGCTCACGTGTGTGGGCAGCTCTCACAGTGTCACCTGCGATGCTCCGAGAGGCAAAGGCATCCTCTGCCAGCCAAGGCTGCTGCAGACACGGGCACAGAGCACCTCAAAGTGATGGCCCCAGGTACCTCCTGTAAACAAACACAAAACTGGGTGTTAGACTGGTTACACATCCCCAGAACCAGGCTGGATACTGGCACCATTGTGACGTGCAGGCACACAAAGAACATTCATCTGGATGTTCTGTAACCTATGGCAGCTGTGGGGAAAACAGAGGCAGGCTCTTAGGACAGGCAAGTTTCTGCCTCTTTTTTGGAGGAAGGCTTATAAATGCTAACCCCAAAGCACCCAGAACAGAGACAGCCCAGCATTACATCCCCAGGAAGCTAGAAGAGCAGCAAGGGGAGAGATAACTCAGAGACAGCTGTCTCGATGCACACAGAGCAACGCTGGAGCTGCCACAACTCTGCTCAGCACAGCAGGGCCAGACCCCAGCTGCCACCAGCAGTGGGAACAGGATCAGGGAGCTCTGCAGACCAAAGGTGCTCAGGACCAAGCAGTCCTCAGCCTCCCTCATTTTAGCATTTATTTTTTTTCCCTTCGAATTACTTTTCAGTCACTGAAATCCCTGTATAAGTCTGGAAACCCTTGTGCCTTGGTGTCTCTCCAGGAACTTCACAGCCATCAAAAGAAAATAATTCTACTGAATTCTCCCTGCTCCCTTTTTCAACTCCCTGTCATGCAGACACCAAATCTCTGAGGCAGAAGAGCTCAGTCCAGGACTCAAGCCTTGTTTCACACTAAATTTGGTCTGCCAGACATCCAAAAAAAGATCACATCAGTCATTCTGCTTCAGAGCTGGTTTCTCAGCATGGAAAATTACATTTCCTACATGTAGCTAATGCATGAAAAGCTTGAAAGGTCAAAAAATGAAGCCATCAATTTATCACAAAAAGTAAGTTCCTATTAAAGCTGCTGAAAGCCTGGGCTCTCCAGTGCAAACACTCCACCTAGAGCCAGCTGTGCCAGCCCTGCTGTCCAGGGCTGCCAGCACCAGTGAGTGACTCAGCATTGCCACTACAGCCCAATGGGGCTGTGCCCACAGCCAGTGCCACCAAACATCACTGCCCTGAAGGGGACCCAAGCAGACTTTTGGTGGGACAACCTCTCCTGCTCGTGCAGGGGGTCTTGGCAGAGAGGACCCTCCCTCCCAAAAACAAAAACGGGACCTGTGCTCATGCACTGCCTTTCCTTTGGGCACCATCCTGGAGAGAGATCACCCATGAAGTGATCCCAGCCAGCAACATCCTGTCCTTTGTCCCTGGGGACAGCACATGGTGAGCAAAGCATGGGTGCAATCCCAAAGCGTGAAAGCACTGGGATGGCACCAGAAGAGCAAGGGAGCCTGAGGGTCTCTCCCACCCAGCAGCTGAAGGGGAGCAGAGACCACAGTAACTGGTTCCACCTGAGCAACAGCATCCAGCCCACCCTGTAACCCTGCCCAGGACAATTCAGTGCCACTGAAATGGCACTGCTATTCTCCTGCTCTGTGTCCATCCTCCAGCTCTGTGGTCATTCCTCATACCTTTTTGCATCCCCCAAAAACACCAGCAATGCCAGCCAAGGTGGGATTAGGTCCCCATGCTCTCATTCTGACCCAGTGAGACACAGGTCAAGTGTCTCACAGGTAAGTGAGGGACTCCTGCAGCTCAGCAAGACAGGTGTGGAATACAGGAATGCAGCAACAGGATCATGAGGCTGCCCAGGCCAGGAGCCACAGGGACTGGTACTTGTCCCTTCCTGTCTTAGGGCTGCAGCAAACAGGCTGTGACATTCCACAGAGCCTCAGCAGGACACAGCATCCCTCACCTGCCACAGCTCACCACAAAGGTGTCATTTAACATCTCAACTTTAGAGCTGGGAAAAACTTGAAGCAAGCTAGAAGGGGAGTGCAAGACCAGCCTGGAGAGGATGCAGGCTGCAAAGAGCTGAGCACAGCCCTGGCTCTCGCTGCCATCCTGGTGCTGGGGAAGCTGCCAACACACATTTCTCCTTTTGGGACAGAAACAGCCCCACAGGGAGCAGCTGCCTCAGCACTGCTGCACCTGAGAGCAGCCAGGCCCTGCCAGCAGTGCCCCAAGGCTGTCCTCACGTCCTTGCCAGCTCCTGCTGCCAGGAGCCAGGACAGACAGAGCTCTTGGGTACATTTTGGCTCAGCTTCCCCTCATGTAACATCCTCTGCAGCTCTATCTCCAGACACTGCCTGGGATTCCCCAGGCACTCTGCTGCTGGCTCCAGACACACAGGCTCTGCCCCAGCCCTGCACTGCTCCCATGCCATTCCCAAAAGCAGCAATGCTGCACATGGATGACAGGGACAGGAATTACTGAGTTCTGTACAAATGGTGATAATGTGCCCTCTTAAAAACCAAAACCTTAGAGATGACAAGAAAAGTGTTTGCTTTTCAGTTATGACTGGCTGGAGGTAAAGGGCTAAGAATTGACATTCCCATTGCCATAACGACCTCCATGCTGGAGAGAACATCTGACCCCTCTCTGACAGCTGTTCTGATAATCCTGGAGGAACACACAGGACATTGTCACTGAGCTCTCCCAGATGAACACCCCAAGCTCCCCATGAACATCACAGCAGGTGTCACTGGAGAAAGCTGTGGTAGCTCCTGCTGCTGCACAGGGATGGAGATGCCTCATGCCAATGACGCTGTTCTCCAGAAAGAGACACCAAGGTGACATCACTTTCTCTGTGGGGCTCTGGCTCACTGGGGAACAACCTCACCAAGAACATTTGCCTTCCCTACACTGGGAAAGGCCATCTGAGACTGACACAGCTCCAGGCTGCAAACAGGAATGGACTGTAGGCTCCCTGGGGCTGGGAATCATTTAAACAATTGTTGTCAGCATAAAAACGTGTATTTTCACTTAGCAGAAGGGGAGGAGGAATGTCTCTACTCATCTAACTAATTCATCCACCTATTATGAAAGGTATCAACTTTTCATAACTTTAGATGAGAAAAGTCACTTTAAAAAAGATTTGTCAATGAAGCCCAGCTTTGCTGAGCTGAAAGCTGTAAAAGTCAACTTTCAGGCACTCAGGGACAGGTTGGGACAGGAAATTTCCCACCTCTATTTCAAGGAAGAAAAAACATTATTCAGCAATTCTGAACTTCTCAAAATTCTTCCAGGGACCACAGGGGAGTTCTCAGTGCCACAATGAAATTAATTCAGGGAAATAAAGCAGAACAGCCAATCCCAAAGCATGATACCATTGGAGACAGCCCAAGCTTAAGAAACACAAAGCAAATTTCCCTGGGTTTAAGTATTTCTGAGGTTACTGTTTTACAGGTAAAATATTTATGGTAAAGAAGGAAGACAAATTGCCCCCTCCTTATTTCACTGCTGGAATTGCCAGTTGAGAGCAAGAACAGTGCCCTTAGGGGGAAGAATAACAAGAAGTGAGTTCCTGAGCACCACACTGCATCATTCCCTTCTGGAGGGGAATACACGGGAAAACTGAGCATGAGACAAACACAAACTGATCCTTCCCCTGCAGATGTTCCAGTGGTGTAAACACGCATCCAGCCAACCCAAGGACCAACTCCAACTCGCTCATCCCCACGTTGAAGCATCCTACTGACTCCAGGCCTCAGGAATCAATGCCAGGCACTCACCTCCTCTGTATTTATTTCTATAAAACACACACAACTTGTTGCTCATATTCAAGAATAAATTGTTCAGGGAGCATATCTACACATATGTATTCTCAGGGAAGCAATTTCTGCTGGTTTGGCTAGATGAACTTCAGTACCACCTGCACAAGAAATTCCTCTGTTCCCCCATTCTCAGACAAACTTGAAGAAATCCAGTTTTCACAAAATTCAGAGGAGAAAAATCGGAGCTGCTCCACAGAGTGACAATCCACGGCTGCAGGAGCCAGGACACCAGCCAGCAGGCTGGAAAGCAAACAGCCCGCTGTCGGCATCGCTGCTTCCCTGGAGATCATCACATATTCTACGGAAATCTCCAAAGTAAAGGAGAAAAGCCCTGGTGATGGAATGAACCTGCCAGATGAGGAAGCGTCTGGGCACACACCATGGACAGGGATTACTGCGGGACCCGCTGTTCAAAAGAACAAGCCTCCTCCGAAAGCAAGGCAGCAGCACAGACAATGGTCCCTCCAAGGGCAGAGCTGCTAAGGAATAAAGGCGCTGGTGGAAGAGCAGCGCCCGGGCCCCGCCGCGCTCCAGGGCAGCACCGCCAGGCAGGCTCCGTTCACGCCAAACGACTGAAATCCAACAGCAAAACAGCATTGCAAGAGCATGAAGTAATCCCACCCCTGCAGTTCGTGTTTTCCTACCCAATTAGCTACTCCAAGTGTAAGAGGGAAAAGGGAAAGGAAAAGAAAACTTAAACGTGCCGCAAAGCCAGGAGATGTTCTGCAAGTCCCAGGCTCCTGCAGCAGCAGATCCCTGCGCTCCCGACAGCCACGGGCTGTGGGGGGAACCCACGAGGAAGGGAGGAGAGCAGGGGGAAGGGGAGAGGAGAGGGAAGAAGGGGAAGAAGCCCGCTCACTTGCTCCGCCGTCCCTCGGGCCCGTCCCGCGGCTCAGCCGGAGCGCACGGCCGGGCTGCGGCCCCGCTACCGCCGGCAGGGAGGGCAGCGGGCTC